ACAGCCTCACACACCACACAAACCCACACACCACACAGCCTCACACACCACACAGCCCCACACACCACACAACCCCACACAGCCTCACACACCACACAGGTCACAGCCTCACACACCACACAGCCTTACACACCACACAGCCTTACACACCACACAGCACCACACAGCCTCATACACACCACACAGCATGACACACCACACAGCCTCACACACAAGTCCAAAATTTTTAAACATGCTTTCTTTATATTTCGAATAGGTTGCTGGATAGTAAAATTATTGAAGTCTTTACATCTGATACATGTAGTGGAAGGTGTTGGTGAAGATAAAGACCAGATTGAAGTCAATAATTTCACCCTCATCAATTTTGTTCTGAAGCTTGTTGGGCCTACACATGAACAAACTCTTACAATTTATATGCTTCTTATTCAAGTAAGTCGGATATAATGTGTACTTGTTTGAGAGCTATTCCTGCTCCTAAGAATAATTATCACATGAAATTAGCTTCATCATCAGATGGTATGAGCATCAGTATCACATTGTATGAGCCTCACATAATATGCATCATCATCACATATGCATCAACATCATAACACATGAGAAATTATTACATGAAATTTCAGTATCACATGGTACAAGTATCATCATCACACAATATGACCACCAGCATCATATGACATTAACATCAGCGTCACATGAATGAGCTTCAGCATCACATAGTATAAGCATCAGTATCACATGATATGAGCATTGGTAGTTTTTATTCTTAAACTTTGTATAATTATTCCTTGTATACTGTATTTTTATTCGATTTGTCCATTTTAACTTTTGTAAAGCGCATTGATCAGCTTTAATTGAAAATGCGCTATATAAGTTATTATTATTATGACTACCAGCATCACATGATATAAACATAAGCATCACATGGATGAGCTTCAGTATCACATGATATGAGGATTTGTATCATATGGTATCATCATCAAATGATATGAACATAATCATCACATGAAATGAGCCTCAGCATCATGGTAGTGTCATCATCATCATCACATAATATGCATCATCATCATCACATAATATAAGCATGAACAATCTTTAAATTCTGTGTTCTTTACCCTAACATTTAAACATGATTTATTTACAATCAAAACAGCTTCTCTTCTAAATCAAGTTCAATAGTCTTTTTAATACTAAATTTTCAAATACTTAAGTTTAAAAACAATAAATTTATTAATATGTTTTATTCTGTATCTCATCTATATTAGCTTTCACACATGCAGATAATATTAAACAACAATTTATTGTATTGATATAATTCAGTAGGCCTTCTTGTATTACAAATTATTTAATTTATATTTTTTACAATTTACACTATATAATTTATGTCCATTATTGGTAGGGCTGTTTGTGAGTCAATGTTGTATGTGCTACCATCTTGACTTACTCAATATTTATATAAATATATAATCTCTTTGCAGGTCATGTGCAGTGTTTGTGCATTTATCATTCGTTACCAACTTGCAAGACTTTTCTATGATATCGTTGATTAATTATTTTCATATCGTTAATTGTTGATGAGTTGAAGAAACTTTACTTTGTAAGATTAAGAACAAGTATGTAACCAAAAATGCAATTTATATAATTAAACATACAGATGTATGGACAATAGAATGGGTACTAAGTGGTACCATAAGCATCCAATTTTACAGCTTCACTCTTGTGTATGGTTTAGAGCAACATTTTGAGATCATGTGGACAAGAAATATTACCTTTTTATAATTTGAACATCAGTGAAGTATTTCATGATGAATACTCAGTGAAATAGCCAAAATGTAAATCATTGCAAATAAGCATAAAACATATGTGGTCTCAAAAGATGTATACCTATTTTAAAATATGTTAATTAATTTTGAGTTAATAACAATGATAGAATGAAGTAAAATTTTAAAATAACTGTTAAACAGTTGGGTGGGTAGGACATTTTGTTGGATAGATGTTATGGATGAGAGAAAATTAGTGTACTGTAGTTACAAAACATTTACTAATGAAACAATAAAAACTTGTTTATTTCATACTTTTATTCCACTACAGAACTGTTTCGTATGTTCAGCCAAGCTGGCTACACTGATCAGGTGAATGTACAACTGATACAATATTAAGGGAGAGTTAGAATACAAATGATTGAGAAGCAGATAACAGTGATTGCCTCAGTTGTACACATCCACCAGATGAGTAGTCAGCCAAGCAGGCTCCATTCATCAGGTGCATGTACAACTGATACAATATTAAGGGTGAGTTAGAATGAAAATGGTAGAGAAGCAGATAGTGAACAATGGTTGTATCGGGTGTATGCATCCACCTGATGAGTGTTGTCAGCTCCACTGACTATACATTTGTAATGAAAAAAGTATGAAGGAAAAAAGTTTATTATTTTCTGTTTATAAACACTGAATTAGCTGTACTTCTGTATTGATAAAAAATGTGTCATAATAAGAAAATCCAAGGGTGTAAAGCACTTGGCCTCATAGCTTATAT